CTGGGAGGTCAAGCCTGGAGGTGTTTGGGAATAGCGCTTCCAGGACGAGGGGTCAGTACGTGCAAAGGTTCTGCAGCAGGGCGAGGTAGGACAGCTGGAGTGTAGACACGGGCCAGAGGAGGGGGCGGGGGGATGAGGGAGAGGATGGTGGGCTTGGGGGCCACCGTGAGGACTTTGGCTTGTTGTTTGGTTTCTCGGTGGCCCACACAGTTTAGTGCTGGGCTGCTCACTGCAAGGTGAGTGTGCAAATTCACCAGAGGCGCCTGGGGAGAGAGGCTCCCAACATTCACTTCTGAAAGAGCCCAGGCTCGAAAACTGGAGAACACACACACACACACACACACACACACACACGGTTGCCAGGGATCAGAACGGATAGGACAGCAACCGGTGGACATGGAATTCTTAGACTGTGTGTCACGCAAGGACGTTTAGTGCCTTCACGTAGTTGCGTAACCATCGCCATAATGAGTGACTTGTAGCTCATCTCAAAATCCCCACCCCACCTCAAAAACAATCAATGAAACAAACAAACAAACAAACAAACCCCAGACCCACTCAGAGTCACGCCCCCTCTCCTCTCCTCCTCTGGAAACACACCAGCATCGACCTCCTTTCTCTTCTGGACGTTTCTACAAAGGGAATCCTATCAGACGGGGTCCTCTGTGTCCGGCGGCTTGCACCCTGCATGTTTCCCTGGTTCGTCTGGGCCACAGCCGCTGTCAGCACCGCACTCACTGCCTCTTCATGCCCAGTGGCCTTCCACGGGGTGGACACACCCCATGCTGCACCCCCGCTCACCCTTTAGGTTGCATCCACTTCCAACTGTGGTGCCTGGCACCGGCAGGAACACTCATGTTCCTAGCATGCTTGGGTCTGCGTGCCTGTTCTAAGTTCTTTGGGGAGTACACAGGCCCAGGAGTGGAGCTGCTGGTCAGGGGGGGGTGTCTCTGTTTCCTGTTGTGTTTTGAAGAACTGCCAGTCTGGCCTCCAAGGCGGCGGCATTCCCACCGTCCGGGGCCGAGGGTGGTCGTTCTCTCCTCGACACCCTCCCAAGGACATGACGACCTTGAGCAGAGTCGGGTGGCGTGCTGGTCATGCTCTTATCGCTCATCTCCCGGCCCCCTCCGTTTCCCTCCTTTGTTGTCCGTCACGGTCACCGCAAGGCCGCTCTTGAAAACCAGCCTTCTGCCCCTTCCTTGACTCCAGTCAGCTACTGGACCTTCCTTTCATCTCCGCCTCTCTCTGACGTCAGGTGACGATGTGGAGAGGCCCCGGGGCGCTGCGCCACGGCCTTGGGGTGTCTTGGGCAAGCAGCAGGCACGCTTGGACCTTGAAGACTGGGCGCCAAGCACGGCTGGAGAAGGCGAGATGGCGAAGGCAAGCGGGCCCTCCCCGAGGCAGGGCCGGTGTCAAGGCCAGGGCAGACCCTGGCTCCCCGTTAACTGGTTTGTTTGCAAGAACCACCCACGTCAATGGAACGAACACAAGTTCCGCAGCTGAAGGCTGTTGGAAACCCCCTGAAGGTTGCGTTT